ACCGCGACTAAAGGCCTTTGGGCACCTTTAGTCGCGGTTGGCCTGGCCAACCGCGACTAAAGCCCGCAAGCGCCCTGGGCCCAGGCATTTGGTCGCGGTTCATCTGCCGAACCGCGACTAAAGACTTCATTAGTCGCGGTTCCTACAGTTTCGCGACTAATGGGGCTGGACGGAAGCCTCTTTTTCTACTAGTGTGTTGTGCTATTCTCCTATATAAGAAGAAAAAGAGAGGACATGCATGAAAAAAAAGTAAAAAGGTGACAAACATGAAAAAAAGACAAGTTTGATAAGATATAAATAGTGATGAAAGGGACCAATACCTATGACATGTATGGCAAGAAATAGTGATGAAATAGGGGCGCAAGTACCTGCGTCCACAGGTGACCATACAAAAATGTTCTTTTTCAGACAAAAAAAATCTCTTTTTATGATTAAAAAATCATGTATCTTTTTAACAACACTTGATGTATTTAAGAAATATGGATGTGAAAAAAAAGTGCTCAAGAGTTACCCTAAGTTGGTGATTCTTAAACTGAAAATTGCCATTGATGCACACATATGTCTCCATAGTGTGCTAATGTGTCATCGTCTGTTTTTGTCATTTTTCTTTACTCGCCCGTAATAACACCCCATTCCGAACATGACATGAATAAATGCATGATTACTTACCCATTTCTTTGTACGGATTAAATCTACATGCAAGCCATGTTGAAATAAAACACCTGTAGAATCTTAAACTGCATTTTTATAGGTTAAGACCATCTTTGTTTGGGCGTAGCTACAAATTCTCAGATTATAGACAATTTTTTGTAAATTAAGTGCATGTGTGGTTTTATTTTTTTTCTCCCATTGCAATGCACGGGCCTTTTTGCTATATGACCTAAACCAAGCAACACGTGATATCTGTAGCATCTCACACCAGCCATTCCCTTCGCTAACTATTTTCCTCTTATGATTCAACACTTCCAGGGGTATGAGGGATAATAACTTGTATGCATATAGTTGAAAATAAGAAATGCTAGGAAGCTAAGCAGCGAAGCAGAAAGCATTGCTGCCTATTGGCAGTCAACACACTCAAAAGTACCGCACCACATTCTAAACTAACTATCTACTTCCTCCATTCCTACATATAATTCTTTGTAGAGATTCCACTAGAAACCACATACGGATGTATATAAATGCATTTTAAGTGTAGATTCATTCATTTTGCTCCGTATATAGTCCATCTAGTGAAATCTCTACAAAGACTTATATTTACGAACGGAGGGAGTAGATTTTAGTAAATGGCGTGATTTTCCTGCTGCGTTGAGATTCATCTGACAACACATAAGATTAATTTTCTAGTTCTGCATTTTTTATTAGTAAACGGTGTCATTCCCACTCATTTTGGATTCCCACTCTTTTTTTTGGTACTGTCATTTGAGTTAGATGCCAAGTATCACAAGATAGGTGTCAGAATCAGATCATTTTGTCTGAATTCCCATGGTGCTCTGCTTTGTTAACTGAAGAATGCATGTAGAGTTCAGTTCTCACACGAGTTAAATTCTGAGAATTCAAAGCTCTGCTTAGTTTGAGAAAAAACATTTTAGCCAATGTATATGCAAACATCAAATGAATCCCTGAATGGAGACAATGTAAATATTTATCAGCCAATATTCAGTCCTTTGGCTGATTTTTCATTTAGTTAGTTGTCACTGTCTATTCCCATGAACCTATCATCTGTACTGAAAGTTTTGGGATGGGTAGTTGGGTACAGTCGGTACCGACTAATTTTGTTCATGCCGTTTGAGTGTTTTAACACAATCATTTTTTACTATGCATGCCCAAGTACGTTAAGAATGAGAAAATTCTGAAACAAAATATGGTGCAACTTTTGTGTTCAAGTGTGTATTGATTAGAAAAAGTGCCCACCAAGAACCATAAACGGACAGCATAAAGATAACTTTGTCAGGATTAGGGTTAAGGTAGTTATATTCCAGACCATTCTTTTTCCTTTCAGTTCTAACCACATATGCGAAAACACAATAATGCACTGCAATGATGCCTTCTTTTTTCAGCAGAAGGGTTGTGGATCCTATGGGGCACATGTCATTTAGCAGTTGTTACGAGCCCAACTACGATCCTGATGACGGTCTGTCGAAAAGAGAGAGCTATGAGGAGAGCACCGCATCGAGTGACGAAGAAGCGATCATGATTTTCTCTTTTGTGTCTCCTTTTCTTTTACTTTTTTCATTTTATTGTTTTTCAGTCTTAAGAATTCCTACTTTTGTCGTCATTTATCTTCTGGGTTAGTTTCAGTCATCATTTGTTGCTCTGTTTCTCATTTCTATTAGTCCTCATTCTTTATTCTTCAGGTTCAGTCATGCTTTTTCAGGTTTCAGGTCTCATCCTTGATGAGTTTGTTCAGTTTTACGTTTCAGTAATTTTCATTATTTTTTCATTTTGTTCCTTTGTCATTTATATTTTCACCAACTGAACTTGTCTTTTTTTTTTCAGTTTTCAGTGTACTTCTTCAGTTTTCAGGATTATTTCAGTTATCTTTCTTCAGTCCTCCTCAGTTTCTTTAGTCATGTCAGTTGTTTCAGTGATAGTTGTCAGTTCAGTTTTGGGCAATAGTTGCACACTATTGATCTCATTCTGGTAGTCTATTCCTGGGTGTCTCTCTTGACTCTTTCCTTCTCCATTTATTTCCTTCCAAGTCATATTTGTTCAGTCTTTAGTAAATGTTTCTCGACCACCTTTGAGTCTCGTTTATTCAGTCCTCTTCTCTATCTATCTTCAGGTTTTTCAGTGTTCAGTTCTTGTAAAGTTTTCAGTCATCTTTCTGTCTATCATTGGTCATTCAGCTTTCAGATTCATATGACAACATCAAAAATCAAAACAAGACACGTGGAAGCACATCATATGACAGAAATTCGACTTAACCCCAAATAAAAATCAGTCGACTTAAGAATAGGCAGTCCCTTCTCTCTTTCCCTTTTCTCCGTACAACTCTGCAGCCACTACTTTTTTCTTGATGATTTTTATGAGCTAAGATCGTCCCACCAGAAGATCGTCCCAGCAGCTTTAAGTGACCATCTCAAGTAAATGTCCACAATCGTACCAACTGTACCATTTTTACAGTGACACATGAGTTATGGTAAGCAGACCAAGTGGTTAACCAAGCCTCAATCAACAGGAAAACACGAGACACGATCATAGTGCCAAACTCGCCACAACTCCAGTACTCTTTTGTCACCTTCCCTTCCTTGTGTTAAAGACAGTAGATACAGCAGGCACCTAAAACATCATCTTTAATCACCATGAAATAAAATTCAAAAATCAAACTCTCTTGAAGCCTTGTTGAATAGAACATCTCTGCCGTTCAAATGCATGATTCCATCCTTCAAAGTGCACTTCCAGCGATTCTTTGTCCTTGTTATCTTGTCAAATTGTGCGAGGACAAGGTGCTGCGTCTCAACAAAGTCATCATCTATGTCGTCATCGTCGTCATCATCTTCATTAAGAGGAGGTTCATCATCATCTTCACCACCCGCTGTATCGTTTCTTGGCTTTGGTGTTGCAACAGCAGGTGTGGGAGTTTGATATTCCGAAGATTCCCCAGGGGTATTGTAGTCTGGGGTTGCATCATAATGAACCGCAACCTGGTCTGCACATCCATCCTGTTGTGGCACAAATGAACCGGCTGAAGGATATTCATCCCTCTTCCGTTTTCCACAAGACATCATGAGAAAATCCTTGGTCGTCAGTGGCTGGGGTTGCATCATCATCCGGATCTCCTCATCATAAGCAAAAGCAAGGTTGACATCAAGCCCCAGTGGTCTCTGATTCATCCAGGGCGACGGAGGTTGCATGAAAGGGCTTGGGCGGCCAGTCTCTGGATCAGCCCCGTTCATCATCCCCATCCCGTTTCTCATGGCACTGATCGGCGATGGGGCATAGTCCAACGGCCCCGTATCGATCCCAGCTTCAAGCGGTGTCTGGATCGGTGTCTGCAGCGGCGTCGGTGGGAAGAGCATGTCGGCGGTTGGGGTGGCGTACTCCTCGGACGTGGCCTCGTAGGGCACGTTGAGGTCGCGCACGGGTGAAGCGGACGCGGGGGGAGCCCTGTTGCGGTCGGTGTTCCCTGAGATTGCGCCACAGTGCAGCAACTTCGTCTCCCAGAGAGACTGGAGCTCGTTGAGGACGGCGTCGCCAACGCCGGAGGTGATGAACTCCTTACGAACTTTGGCGAGGACTTCCTCGACGACGGAGAGGTAGACGGTGGACGCGTTGCCGCTGGCCATGACGGTGGACGTGCTAAGGTTAGGGATTGCGCGGGGGGGCCTAGGGTTAGGGTTTGTGTGCTAGGTAGCGAGGGCGAGACGGGCTGCAGATCGAGGGGGCGGCCTCTTATATAGCCGAAGCTCTCCGACACCTTGTCTTCATCAGGCGAGGTGGGACTAAAGGAACCACTGATTTGAGGGAGGACCGGACCGCAGTAGTATGTGGGTTCGCTGAAGCCCAGCCTCCCGAAGCCCCAGTTTCGGCCGGCCCATGGTAGCTCTGCTGTTTCTACTCTTTTCTGTTTCTTTTTTCTCTTTTTCTCTTTTTTTTCTCTTTCTGTTTATTTTATTTTACGTTTATCATTTTTTTATCTTTTCATCATATTTTTTCGTGTATTTTTTAGTGTGTTTGAGGAGCCACATAATGAAATTGTACCGATCCTCATAAACGATGTAATGATTATTGCAAATGAATAAAGCTCAAGTTTTTTCAAAGAATTTCTTTTAGAAATTGTCACCCTGATGTTTGCACTTCGACAAACCTTCATATAGTTTTGCCGCGTCGCGAGAGACTTTCACAACATTGCTTTTCTCAGCAACGTTCAGCTCCAAAAGTTCAATGTCTGTACATTATAACCCTTTGGTTGTCCTCAATGCAACTTACGTCTCTAACTGATTTGAAGCACTCAAAATATGCTATTGTCGATTTGTTTTATTCTTTATTAACCTGTTGTTGAATATAACTGCTCTACAAGTTGGCCTAGTGTTTGGTTTACTGAATAATACAAATAATCTTCTTATGCTCAAACAAAAATTTACTTTCAAGACATTAAACACTTGACAAATTCATGCTAACATGTACACATAGACACACATTTGAACCTACTTTATTGGCGGAGCTGTATGGAAAAGGCATCTTGATCAAAATGACCGGATTTGACCATGATGATCCCTAAGAAAAGAACTTCAATTGACCGGTGGCCTGAAGTATGATCGAGTGGCTTAGCGCGTGCTCAATATGTCTGCCGCGACAACAGAATAGCCCACCCCGCTAGGCGGAGCAGCCTTACATGCGACCATTGTTCTTGCTGGTTTAAACAAGGCCATGATCTTGATGACTACTGGCGTATCATGTATGCACGCACTGATTGCAGTGCCTGTCTCTGGAACAATTGCTCTGATCCATGCGCATGGTAGCCGGTGATGAACTTGGGTCTTTATTCGAAATGGTGGGACAAGGTGCTTCCTGCAGAGAAACAGTCTGCAAATACGATCATGATTATGATTAATGACCTAGCTACCTACCCTACTTCCTTGCAAATTGGAATATTCCCGGTTCCCATTAGACTAGCTAAGCTAGAGACCATCAACCACCATACATCAAGTCTTAGTATAACTAAACGTGCGTGTGGGTATAGTACTGCCCCTTCATGTGTCGTCATTACGGCCCTCTTTCTATATATATATATATATATATATATATATATATATATATATATATATATATATATATATATATATATATATATATATATATATATATATCTTCGATGATTGATTGGTAGGAACAGATATCAGAAGGGAACTATGTGATGGTAGTGTTCATGGTATGTACTCACTAGTAAACGACAAAGAGTTTTCAGAATAGCAGACATCAGGATGAATTAGGCCTAGAACCAGGGACAAGCAACCCGTGTGACCAAACATGACCCCCAAATGGCGGCCCCAAATTTCGGAGGACTTCAGTTCAGTCGGTCCTTGTTCAGACAAACCAGGGACGGATCCACAAAGGGCCAACCTGGGTCACTGGACCAGCTAGAGGACAATGCCTGGAGGTGAGCATGGACCATCTACAGGCCGATGCGGTCAGCAACAACGTGTTTGTGACGTCTTGGTCGGCTGGTCCTTCGGCGTAGGAGTCCTCCGGCTGGACGAGCGTGTCTCTTTGTCTTCATCTTTGAGATCGCTGACTGATCTCACCCTGACTACTTCTACCTCGACCCGAGTATATAGCAAAAAACTACCACATTACGGGCTAGGTCAACAAAAACCTACCACTTTATGAGCTAAGATCGTCCCACCAGCTTGAAGACAGTGACATGAGTTATGGTCAACAAACCAAGTGGGCCAAGCAAGCCTCAATCAACAGGAAAACACGAGACATGTTCATAGTGCCAAACTCGCCACAATTCCAGTATTCTTTTGCCACCTTCCCTTCCTTGTGTTAAAGACAGTAGATACAGCAGGCACCTAAAATATCCTCTTTAATTACCATGAAATGAAATTCAAAAATCAAACTCTCCCGAAGCCTTGTTGAATAGAACATCTCTGCCGTTCAAATGCATGATTCCACCCTTCAAATCGCACTTCCAGCGATTCTTTGTCCTTGTTATCTTGTCAAATTGTGCAAGGACAAGGTGCTGCGTCTCATCAAAGTCATCATCTATGTCATCATCGTCGTCATCGTCATCTTCATTAAGAGGAGGTTCATCATCATCAACACCACCCGCTACCTGGTCTGCACATCCATCCTGTTGTGGCACAAATGAAGCGGAAGGATATTCATCCCTCTTCCGTTTTCCACAAGAAGCCATCAGAAAATCCTTAGTTGTCAGTGGCTGGGGTTGCATCAACCGGTCTTCTAGGTCCTCATAAGCGAAGGCAAGGTTGACATCAAGCCCCAGTGGTCTCTGATTCATCCAGGGCGATGGAGGTTGCATGAAAGGGCTTGGGCGGCCAGTCTCTCGATCAGCCCCGTTCGTCATCCCCATCCCGTTTCTCATGTCACCGATCGGCGATGGGGCATAGTCCCACGGCCCCGTATCAATCCCAGCTGGAAGTGGTGTCTGGATCGGGGTCGGTGGGAAGAGCATGTCGGCGGTTGGGGTGGCGTACTCCTCGGACGTGGCCTCGTAGGGCACGTTGAGATCGTGCACCGGTGGAGTCGCGCCTCCAGCGGACGCTCCGGCGGGGGGAGTCCTGTTGCGGTCGGTGTTCCCTGAGATTGCGCCACAGTGCAGCAACTTCGTCTCCCAGAGAGCCTGGAGCTCGTTGAGGACGGCGTCGCCAGCCCCGTCGGCGATGAAGTCCTTACGGACCTTGGCCACCACGTCTTCTATTACGGTGGTGTAAATGTTGCCGCTGGACATGGCTGTCGAGGCCTAGGGTTAGGGTTTGTGTGTAGGTAGCAGAGGGCGAGGCGGGCTGCTGATCGCGGCGACGGCCTCTTATATAGCCGAAGCTCTCCGACCCCGTCTCTTCACCAGACCAGGTGGGACTAAAGGTACCAGGGAAGACCGGACCGCAGTACGCGGCTTCGCTGAAGCTCAGCGTCCCGAAGCCCCAGCTTGAGCCGGCCCACGGTAGCTCAGCGGCTTCTCTTTTCTGTTTCTTTTTTTTTTGCTTTTTTTGTTTCAGTTTATTTTGTTTTGTTTTACGTTTTTCCTTTTTTTAATCCTTTCATCATTTTTTCCCGTGTATTATACAAATTTCAATTTGTGTTATACACAGAATTGTTCATCGTGTATTTAAGAAATGTTCATCCTATATTAAGAAAATGTTTGACATATTTAAAATAATTTTCATCGTGTATTTTAATTTTTTAGAATATATTAGAAACTTTTAAATGTGTTTCAAATATATTTTTAACATATATCACAAAAATGTTCAATGTGTATTTAGATATTGTTCAACCTATATCACAAAAAAGTTCAGTGTGTATTTTAAAATTTGTTCAGCGTATATTTCCAATTTTTTCAGTATATATTTAAAAAATATCATCGCAAAAAATTCAACAAAGTTTGGGATTTCAAAAGTTTGTTCATGTTTCTCAAATTTGTTTTCGATTTTCTCGAAAATTGTTCACGTCTTAAAAGCTTGTCCGACTTCCAAATTTCTTCACAATTTTCAAGCATTATTCGCATTTTTTAAGAAAAATTGTTCACATTTTTCCCAAGAAATGTTGAGATATTGAAATTAAACAGAACTAGTATTCTTTCTCATTGTCACTAGCCTTTTCTTTTTCCCTTTATGCACTTCACTAACCTGTAATAATTTGGTTGTTTGCATCATCGAGATACAATGACCGATAGATCGTGGGTATTCCTCCTTCTTGCTCAAGTAAGCAGCCGGCATACCAATTCATTATCCTTGGGGCTCGGCTCGCTCCTTCCTATCTACGTTATTCTTTCTTTGTTACTCTCGTAATGACGTTCCAAAAGATATCAAGGTTACCATGTCACAACTCTGATAGTGACTGGGAGATGATAACTAAATTCTTCATCTTCCAAGAAAACTAAATATGTACACAAGAAAAAGGAAACAAATACTCTTATATTTGTGTTTTGCTCACGAGTCTTGTATATATTGCATGTGATCTCTCATCCACCCTGCTCATCTACCCATGCTACTTAGTCGATTCAACAATCCATATATACATCTCGATACAATCTTAATCTCAGTATATAGGTAGTTGAATACGTGTGGTATTCAGTTTCTTTTATACAACATGAGATACTTAAGAAAACAGATGATGAGTTATACATGCAAAGACGATTTGTATGTTATTTATATTTTGGTAGTTAACAAACATTGTCCTTAAAATCTGAGATTATAGAGCATCGGCATGTAGTCTCTTACCATACACATCAGATCATAGTTTTGTCGCGTCGCGAGAGACTTTCACAACATGGCTTCTCCCAGCAACGTTCCCCTCCAAACGTTCAATGTCTGTACATTATAGCCTTTTGGCTGTCCTCGATGCAACTTACGTCTCCAACTGATTCGTAGCACTCAAAATATGCTATTGTCGATTTGGTCGTGTTTGGCTCCTGGAGAATCCTTGCAAAAACCGCGGTTGATGCCGGTGACGGCGGCGCATTTTTGGTGTCGTTCACCTCCTTGAGGGCATTGCTGAGGAGTCCAGTTCATCCAAATCCCCCGAGAGTGTCCCCGGGCGTAAGCTCAAGATCTTGTATTGCTAGATCGGACGACGACGACGACAGGTTCGTCGCTACCTTCTT